ACCAGCTTAAACAAGATTCGGTTGTTGAAAACATACAACTTAATGAGCAGACTCTGAGAATTCAACTTAAATGCTGATTCTGGTTTTCACAAATGGAGGTGAAAGCTAGAAGCTCAGCTAGAGGTCTCAGCTTAAAGATAAGCTTCCAAAAGTGAGACTGCATAAACAGCCCAAAAGTTAAATGGAAAGAAGTTGTAGGAATTCCTGGAGAATATGATGAAGTTATCTCCTCCAGGGAGTCTGAAAAAGGTGGCATTTGTTAATGAAAAACCTTCAGTGTGCGCCATGGCAGACTTGTTTTGAAGCAAGGAGAAGGCACCCAAAAAGGGATCGTCTACACAGACTGTTTGCAGGACAGTCAGCTTGAAATCTCAGAGTCTTCACAGAAAAGAAGATCTGGACAGAGCAGCCCAGAGATAAACAGGAATTTTTTTTTTTTTTTTGGTGAGGAAAGGAAGAATAAAGTTGTAGGATGTTCTAACTTGGTAGCACCAAGTAATTGCTCAACCCATACCCTGTTTTACATCAACAGCAGGGACTTGGTTTATATAAATGTATATATTTACATCAAATATGTATGTGGTTTCATGGTGAGTCCATTTTTTGTTCGTAGTTTCACATAACCTTTCAGAAGCGAGTAGGTGGCAACTTTATTCTTCTATCTGTCTAATTTAAAAAGCATTTCCTTAAATTGAAGAGAAACGTCACAAAATGTTTCTAAAATATGTTCCCCCAAAATTGAGTCTGTCAAGATGTATAAACTTTAACTGTGCTTTGGTTGTAAACAGATAATCTAGATCGATCTGACATGCAGAAAGATAATGCTGGGTACAACTTGCTATTGTTAAGTGACACATGAATAATGCACTGGATCTGGGATCAGTCAGCTCTTTTGGTTTTAATCATTTATTTTATTTTCTTCCATTTCGTAACTGAACTGTTGATGTAATCCTACCCCATGTGAATGTGAAGTTCAGGGTTTCACAATAAATGAAATGCCATCTAAACCAGCATGAAATATCTACACAGTGTAATCTAAGGTGCCCACAAAAGTTGGAGGAGGACTAGACTCTTGATGTAGCTAATGGGGTCTCCAGGGAGCCATGAAATTCGCAGCAAAGTGTTTTAATCTTGCCTCTGTTTTCTCTTTGCTTGCCTGAAGAAATTTAATATCTTATTTCATTAGTGAGAGGATGGTCCATGCAACAAGTGGGAAAGAAGGAGATCTGGCTGGGTGACATCAGGCTCCCTGAACTGAGCCCTCTGTCATGTTTTCACCAAGAAAGGCCAAAAAGAAACATCAGGTGAGCTGACTGCATAGCACAGGCCAGGAAACTTTCCAAAGAGTTTTCTTTACCAGAATTATAAGCTCTACTTGACCACTAACAATCCCGTAAAACATGCGCTTCTCATCTAATGACTGCACCTTGGTAATATATTTCTCAGCTAAATGTTTGCACCCAGGATAAGAGCAAAACCCATGGGCAACATCTGTACCAGGGAACTGAACAGTGTCCTTTCATCTTCGAAACCGATGGCCTTACCGCCTACTGGGAATGGCCCTGGGCCCATCTAAGCTGATCTGTGCCTGGGAATGCCTTAGGACAGTGCTAGTTGGCCCAGCCCAAAACAGTGCCAGCAACTGCTCTGTGAATTTAACAAGGTGAACGATTGAATTCCAGCATCCAGTGGTGATCTGGCACAGTTTAATTTACCAGTATCATGGGTTTGTGTGCACTGTACTGGATTAATGGTCAGAATGCAGCAATCTTCTGCTTTCTGTCACAGGATTTACTGTGTCCTTTGCTGACTCTAGCAGATATCTCTTCCCCAAATTGGGATCAAATGGTAACCTCTCTTTCTTGAACAGACTACACTGATTTGACCGAGCTATTTAAGACTTTCATTAGTAGCCATATTTTTGAGACATCATATGTGTCTATTTTCAGCCTTTTCTGATAGAAGAGCTTCCCTTTTATAATTGATATTGTATACATCCTGCCTTCCTAGACTAAACTGATACTCACTTGCTTAAACCCCCAAGGCCTGAGAAGCGTTGCAACAACGAACCACATTCAGCTGAGTATCTGTTGCCAAGGAACATTCTGTGAAGGACATCTGCACTGAACATCTAATGAGTAGGTGCTTGATTTCTTGAGTTAGGTGGCGTCTTTATTCAAAAACTCTCTGAGACTTTGAATGAGATCACAATGGGGCACTTGAACAAGTTATCCACAGAGGAGCTCCACCTGTTGTGGAATCTCCATCCTTGGACATATACAAAACCCAACCAGGTACACCCTTGCTGATCCAGTTCTGAGTAGGAGGCTTGGACTACATGATCTTCAGAGGTGACTTCCAGCCCCAGTGATTCTGTGATTCTGTGTGCTCTTTTTGTTGGATCGAGGTTTGGAAGATCAGTCTCTGTTCACCCAGACAGGAGTCAAAGTTCCTCCTGCCTGTCTTTTCTTCTCTCTACCCATAACTCATGCCTTCCTAGCTGTCCAGTTTAAACAGAATCCTCACAACCTGTTTGTCTTATCTGTTCAGATTTTTCAGGCCAGCAATTTCTGTCATTCTGTAAGCTCTGGAGAAGAACCAGTGGACCGTTCCAGCTCCTAGTAGTTATCTATGCCATGAACACATGCAGAATCCATTGTACTTCTACTGACTTTGGAGCAATGTGGGATGGGTTGGGGGAATTTTTCAGAAACACTTGAGCTGACTACACAGAAGCCAGCCTCAGACAAGAAGTAGCTTAGCACAGGGAAGTGGTTTCTGACGGTGGGAACCATTGGGTTGTAGCATCTCTTGAAATCTCCATTCTGATAATACTATGAGTTACACCGTCTATTCTGTGATGGAAAAACGGACTTCCTTCTCTGCTTTCCTCCGCTACATCTTGCCTACGTTTACCTCCTGGCATCATGACTTGGGAACTAGAGCATTGCTGTGGGCTAATGAAGCCACCTAGTGCTCTTAGTACTGCTCACAGTCCTTTAAAAATTAAGTTTGTGTCTGTGACAGCAGAATTAGTGCTGAATTTGGTACCCAAGTTCTCTGTTCAGTGGTGGAGGCAGATTTACTAAGAACAAAACTTGTAACACCCAGCGTGAGGACAGTAGGGGATCCTGGTGTGGGGCCATGGTCCCAGGTACAAGAATTTTGTTTCTCTGAAGTGATAACTACACCTTGAGCAGCATCTCTGTGAGACTGGTTCACTTTGAAGCTGTAGCTAGTGGCCAATACTGAACTACCATTACCCCTGCAGATTTTTTTTTTTTTATGCCATAGCTGTTCATTGCAAAATATATTAACAGCTTTTGGAGCAAGAGTTCCCTTCAGCACCATACTAGAGAGTCAGATACTGTTTGGTTTTTATCCCTTCAGTCTTGTGACTTAGGTGTAGAGCAATGCAGCTTCAAGTGGAGAGGAAAGCGTCTCTCCGTTACGCAGTTTTCCTCACCCCAAAGCATCTATAACCTGCAGAATGAAACATTCTTACAGGAAAAAACATGTATTCGGGTCTCTGAAACCAGAGGAGGGAACTGATTTCTCTCTCTCATGGAGGATGGCTAAGCATTTAGGACAAAGATGCCCTGAAAAGGCTGTGAGTGCTACTGAGCCCTGTGCTGTACGTGTTGTGTCGCATGTACTTGGTTGCTGAATTAAACTCCTCCAAGTCTTCAGTGAAGGGATCCTTACCCTGTAAATCTCAGACAGCTTCAGCAGGGAACAGGCACACAGACATGCAGCAAAGCCAAGGTGGCAACGTATCTGTGCACGGCCAGTGTTGCTTTCTGGTGAAACTCAAAACTTTTAAAGTCTTCCGATTCCTAAGGATTTCAGCATTTGGGCTGTTACTGCTATACTTAAGCACCTAAATTCCACCTGGATTGCACATGAGATGCCTACATGCTCTTGGGGATCTTAAAATTCCCTGTGTCTGAACAGAGTAAAATAGGCCAAGCAGAGAATGATGCTAATGCAGCTTAGCATATTCAGGTACTGGAATTAAATAATTTAGAATAGATCAGCTCTTCCATGTGCTGGCTGGGTGCTGCCCAGGCTAAAAGTCAAGTTTATGCCATTGCAACTACAGACCTGTAAACTGCATGCACCAAAATCAAGACCTGTGTATGTAAATTGGTAGAGGAGCCTGTAACATACATTTGGAGCCTGGAGCAAAACAGCATTTTTTGTAAAGGCTGAGAGAGCGTTATGATGATTTCAGGCCCAGATAATATAAGGAGAAGGTCAGCTTGGATGTGAGGTGTTGCTCTGGTTGCTTGCCAGGTGAAAACACTGGAGTGTCACTAGAGTGAACTCAGAGCTTGGTTCTGCTGTGGTGCTCTGCGGCTGTGTGTGCCTCAGACTGAGCATCCTCTGGTTCTGCCCTGGAGCGGCTCCAAAAGTCCTGCCTTCAGTGGGGTGACTCTGACCCTTCTGAACCCCTGCAGCAAACAGTTTTCCTCTAATACTTCAACACAGAGATCCCCCCACCCCAACCTCATATTTCCCATACACAGCATAAAGCTGGAAAACAAAACTCCCAACCTTCATTCCCCTGCCTGATCCTTCAGCCTGGATTTATTTCCCAAGGCTGCTGATGGTTGAACGACAATTGTTTTTGCTCAGCCGTGGCAGTCTGAAGGGATTTGCATTGTGAAGTCGCTTGACAAGCCAAGGAGCAGAGCGGTGTGAGAGGAGGGGGTGGGTGGAGAGATGCTCTGCCAGGCAGGCGGGATCGCTCTGGTACCAGCTCTGCCTGGCTTTCACTCTGTCTCCCCAGGGAGGGAGCCTTTCCCTCACTCCAGGCTTCTCCCCCACCACACCAGACAGAGGGAGAGAGGAGAAAGCAGAAGGGTCCCTCCTTCACACTGACAGCACCCAACTGCCTCGCTCACATCTGCAGCAGGCAAACCATGAGGAAGGGTTTCTTTGCCCCTACGGTCACTTCACCTTTGATTTAAAACTTCCACCCGCTTCCACAAGGGACAATGGAGGAGCACTACATTTCCAAACTCCACCCGGTAGTGGATTATGGAGCTGGGGTCTTTCTTCTGATCGTAGGTGAGTTCTGCCTTCACAGCCTGCTTGTTTGCTTCAAGCCCAGGAGTGGACATGCCGGGGCTGCCCTGTCTGTGCTGTGGTCAGCACTGGCAGCTCCAGAGGAAGCTGGAGGGAAATGATAGAAAACCTGTTTCCACACAGGTTCCTGCTTATTGCCTTCGAGTCGGTTGGATGCCAGGATTAATCTCCTCTCTCAGATTTGCAGCCTGTCTTTTTGATGCTGAAAACTTGCCAGCATAAGTTTGCCTCTGCAGTGTCACAAGTATTCAAAATCAGTTGTCTATCGCTTATCCTGGCATCTCAACCCTGTGAATTGAGAGACAAGGCAGCCTGTTTCGTGAGACTGATCGGGGGAGAGCAACTTTGGTCTGACCCTTGCTGGGGGAATGTTCATTATGCATGAAGAACAGCTGTGTCTTGGTGGGATAAAGTGGTATAAAATAGTGAAGGGTTTCCAAATAGCACTTCTGGTTTTTGGGAATGGCCTGTTTGCCCAGCTGAAGGCAGATATACAATGAAATACAAGTGGGGATCTGTACCAGTCTGCTCCAGCATGGCTTTAGCTAAGCGTTTTCTTCCTTGTCTCTTTGTTGCATGTACCCAGGTGATTTGCTTACTACTGATGTAGATTTGGAGAGGAGCTGAATAGGTTCAGGCATGCAGTCCAATTGAATTTTGCTAAGATGCAAATACCTCCCTCCCTTCAGCTCATTTGAAAAACCCTGGTTGCAATGCATTTAAGAAAGACAAACATACATTTTTATGTGCTTTAATAGAGAGCCTTCAGGCAGCAAAGGTGGGCTTTAGGCTTCACATCTCACCCCTGTTCCTGCACACTTTTCCTTGCACTGCACTGTGCTGTCCCCTCAGTTGTGCTGGCAGCAGAGGGTACAACTCAGGGTGAGAAAAATCACTATCTGCAAAGCAACGAAGGATTTTTCTTCTAATGCAAGCCAGGGCGCTAGCTGTTTCCTCACACACAAGTAAGTATATAGCTGCAGTTCTCAGTTCTGTCCCATGACATCCAGCAGCCTCACAGGCAGCAGGATGGAGTGCAACAGCATCTGTCAAAGTAAAAGAAAGGGTGGGCCTGGATGTCCACCCCGATGATGAGACTAAGAGCTACTTCCTACCTCTCACGCAGCGGCTAGAGCTCACACAGAAGAAAGTGAACTGGGTTAATTTTCCTCCTGAAGCCTGAGGACGCCCCAGTCATTTGGCAGCAGGGTGCTCTTCCCACCAAGCCTCAGGTTGCTATCTGTCAGCAAGCGGTCCCCTGCCAAGCCACCCCAAGGGGGCATCTCTGTGTGTGCAGCCGTACAGCTCCTGAGAGCTCAGGGAACTCTTCGAGCACACCCAGAGGCGCCAAGTGAATGCATGTGGTCAGAAAGTGAATGAATGAGGGATGTGGGGGCTCAGATTTGTACCTCTGTTCTCTTTAAGGCTTTCTCTTGGCATCTCTGCCCGTTCTTGGATTTAGGCCGATGTATTTATTCCGTTTTGTTGCATTTGCCTTTATTAATTCCTCTGTGGGCGCTTTATAATGGGGTATCTGTGAGCGAATGCAGCCTTTCTGCTTTCACAGAGACAAGGGAACATGACAGAAGCTTTTTCTGCTTCCCTATTTCACTTCTGACTTCAGAGAACACCTTCTCAGGAAAACCTTTGATCAAAATGCAGCTCCAGCATGATGTTCACTCGAAAGAAAAGAGAACACGGGTTGTTTGCTACGTGTACTTTTGACACTGCTGTCATGAAGGCTTTGAAGCCCCGTCTGAATAATGTATGTCCAACAGGGCCTTTTGCAAAGCAATCTCTGGTCTGTTGCATGCCTCTGGCTACACCATGTCTGCGGTCTGTCTCGCTGCACTCAGAGACCACCAGAATAGTGGGGGGGTCTGAACAGCAGCACACAGTCATTCTCAGCTGCTTGACCAGCGAGGACGCTGAGCTGCCCGGCCAGCACATGTCGACTGTCAAGGCAGCTCAGAGTCCAGGAGGCTTGTGCTGGGGCTCCAGACACATTGTAAAGAGGGAAGACTTTGGGAAATGGAGGATGCCAGATGAGAGGAGGGAACAAGCAGGCAGGGCAGATGGAGTTCTTCAGTAGGAAGGAGAAGTAAGTGAGGATATTATTGGGGAAAAATGAAGGTGGATAGGCCCATTTTACTTGGTAGTGTGTTGTGCAAGATACTGTAAGAGAGGGGAGCGAATGGGTGCGGGCTATTCGGGAGGTAGGAGCCACAGGGGAATAGCTGTGCATGAGGAGGGAAGTGAAGAGCTATGGTGTCATGATACGAAGGGGCGAGATATGGTCTACTTTTCATCTGACAAACTTCCCCCCAGTGGGTAAGGCTGGCCAGCGCTACAGGAGGCTGTGAACAGAAACCTGCAGTGCTCTTTACTCTAGCAGGTCCATAGTGGAAACACAGCCTGACTGGGAAATCCCTGTCCAGCAGGGAGGTGGGAATTGACACCCAAAAGCTGGGTGAAGCCAAACAGTGGGTGCTGTGGTGAGGATGCTGAGCTGTGTAGAAGCTCTCAGAAATGCCATCCAGGTGGCATTTCCTATCTGCTATCTAAGAGCACAAGTTTCCTCACCATGAGCTGAAGAACAACGTTTCATAGCAGGGCTTAGCAGAATCAAACCGACATGTTTTCAAAGCATTAGCACAGTCCTGTGTTGGCTGGGAGGTGCTGAATTCTGGCTAGCCTCCCAGTCCGCCTCGTCTTCTAGACTTTAGTCCCAGGCTAACAACCGGCATTTTTCACATCCTTGGTATAGTCAACAGATTTTACAGGTGTATTTACTATGTGATGTTACTGTCTGTACTGATTCTTCTCTTTCAGCCATCCTGACAACTTTTGAAAATTCAGCCGTCCTTGCTACAGCTCTGAAACTCTCTTCCCTCCTGAAGTCACCGGAGCTGCTTACGGTCAACTTGGCGGTAGCAGACATTGGAATGGCAATCAGCATGTACCCGCTGGCCATTGCATCCGCCTGGAATCACGCTTGGCTGGGAGGAGATGCGTCCTGCATATATTATGCCCTGATGGGTTTTCTTTTTGGTGTCTGCAGCATGATGACACTGTGTGCCATGGCCGTGATTCGATTCCTTGTTACCAATTCATCCAAATCTAACAGTAAGTAATCATGTTTCGGGTAACCTTGTAGTGGTGCATTTGGGCTATCACGTTCAGAGAGGTAATCTGTGGAATATGGCGTGGAGTACCAGTTCAGTGACTGTAGGAATAAGCCTCAACTTTTAGTCCAGTATCATACCCTATTCTTCCTAGAAGGATCTGATCAAATTCCTTATTAAACAATGCGATTTCTTACTTCTCAGTAATACCAAGTGAAAATACCTGAGAGTGGAGAGCCCAAATATTTTGCTGGACCAGACTGTCTTGTCTTCCTATTTGTGTGCAAGCAGACACACTGGAATTTGACAGGAAGGAGTATTCTCCTGGCATTCCTGGGCTGGGAGTACAGTACATTTGGAGTTAACTGGATCTTGTAAAGCTCCCTGACTCACTAAACTTTAGATCAGTACTGAGGGCAGCACTCAGGTCTCACCCAGTCCACGGACACTCTCTGTTACGTTTCTCAAGCAGACCAAAGGTTAGGGAAATGCAGCAGCAGCCCAGGCTGCCACCATCCTTCTGTTTGAGAAGAAGTTGTGGCAAAAACCATGTGGCTGAGATGAGATCCATATATGAATGCTCTTCCTCTTTCTTGCAGGTAACAAAATCACCAAGAACACCGTTTGCATCTTGATTACTTTCATCTGGCTGTACTCTTTGGTCTGGGCCATTCTGCCTTTGGTAGGCTGGGGCTACTATGGCCCGGAGCCATTTGGCATCTCTTGTACAATAGCCTGGAGCAAGTTTCACAACTCCTCCAGTGGCTTTTCGTTCATCCTGAGCATGTTCCTTCTGTGCACAGTCCTGCCTGCACTGACCATCGTTGCCTGTTACTTGGGAATCGCCTGGAAGGTTCATAAAGCGTACCAAGAGATCCAGAATATTGACAGGATCCCTAACGCAGCTAAGCTGGAGAGGAAGCTGACATGGGTGAGTTATCCCAGTGGCGAGAAGACTCTGCAGTAACCAGGAGCTTGCAGAGAACTGGCTCTGCGCATGCGTGGCTCACGATGACCCTTCATTGCTTTTGTCTGGTATTGACCAAAGATGGAGATGTGGTTCCAGTCTTACCCATACTCTGCACTCCTCAGAGGGGCAGGGGGCTGCTGAAAACCTTGCCGTTTCAGTGGCTTGATCAGGATAATACAGCTTAGGTACAATGCAGGTTGTTAGGTGGTTGCATCCAAGATTTTCATGGACATACAGATTTCCAGTCATGCTGGAATTGCTTTTGAATCATTTCATGCTGTAGCTGGGGTGGAGGTCTTGTTCTGTCATCCTAGGTATCTTTAATTGACTGAGTAGCTGAGTGAGTGCTGCATAGAAATTCTGTATGGAAACAGGATTTTTTAATATCACATTTTTTCAAATAAGCCCTTCGATTTCCCATTTCTGTGGAAAAGCAGAACTGACCCAAGCTTTCTAGAGGCCAGACTATTGATAGGCTATACTGTCTGGTTGGGCTCTGTCTCCCGTGACATGTTGCAGCCAGAGCCAGGGAAGGAAATGAAAACAACAACTGCCTCACAAGAAGCCCACAGTGTAGATCTGCTCGGTGGGAGTAAAAGCCCATGTGCACTGTGCAGTGTTACCTGTGCTCACATCACAACGTAGCAAGCATCCATTTTCAGGTATTTCAGCTGGTTCAGGTGGGGTTTCATCCACACGCCATGTGCCTGAGTATCAGACCCTGTCAGTGCAAGCTGAGAACTGAACCCAC